TTTATTACCGACGGGGACAACGCTGTCGCTAAAGCCTTCATTTGCGACGGTTTAAGCTGCCTCGCAAAAACCATTTTTTGCGACGAGACAAGCGCCATCGCTAATGCTTCCGTGTTTTTTACCCCTCTTTTCTTGTAGTACAACCACAAGAATTGGACACCGGACTATTCGGAACTCCCCCTTTTGCTGCTTTGTTGCAGAACTAACATCGGATGCCTACCAACGGTTATATACCGCGTAGCACCAACCACAGGGCCTCAAAAGGGGCAGCGAAAAGAAAAAAGTTTTATCACCCAGAATCCAACCTTATCCTTCCAAAAAAGTTTTATCCTCCTAAATGTCCCATCCAAACCCAACCTTATCTCGCCAACCAAACCATCGCAAAGAGTCTGAATACGTCCGTTCCATTCTAGAGTTTACGCGATAACCACTTGCGCAGGACTTATCCTTCAATTAGGGAGCACATCTCATCAATCCATACATAACACATTATCATGTCTTCAATATTCAAGTGATCGAAAACCCAATGCCACCCCAATTAAGTTCCCGTTGAGTTAAATGTTTTAAATTAAAATTGGAACAACTTAACAAGGTAGTAATATTCACATAAGTATGAACATCATCAATTGAAGAAGATAAGGAACATAACCATAACATATGCAATATCATACCAAGACATGATCACGTACTAATAAGCATATTCATGAACACAAGAGCATAAAACACCCATGCAAAACTAAATTTCCAAATTCAATATCATTTAAAGATTAAAATCAAAAGGGCTATTTCAGATCTTTCCCAAACCTAGCCTTCCTATGGTTCGTAGAGAATTTAATCTAGTTTTCAGAACATGTTTCGGAAATGTGATAGATTTTCTAGATTTTTAGTTATTTAAGAAATGTTCCAGCGCTGTCCAAATTCGTCGACCGTTACGAAAATAGGAGTTTCTCACAAATCGCTTACTCGTTTTTAATGAAACAAATTTTAGTTGAAAGATAACTCCTTAAGGAATATTTTGACATAAAATGGAGGTCTAGAATATTTTTCTATATTTTTATAGAAATTTTGGAAGTTTGATGAAAAATAGATTTTTCTGACACAGTTCTTGAAAATAGAAATTTGGTGAGAAAAGAGGTCAGCTAGGGGAAATTTTCCACTTTTCTTGTGGTGAAAACTTGCTAAATAATATGTATTAAACTCAGAAATTTAAGGTGAAGGTGTGCCTTCGGAAATTTTGAGAGTTTGATATAGAAAAAGTAGTCTTATACCGATTAAGAGAAATACAAGAAGGGTAGAATCAAAGCTCAACTTCTTTCATTTTTTAACACGAGAATACTATCAAAACACATCTGAAAATACCATTTAAAACTTCTAGTAACATGTATTTGAAAAAGGAAAATGAAAAAGAGAGTTGTGTTATGGCTTACTTGATTGCCTAGTGAAATGTTTGCACAATTTCTTCTCTTTTCCTCTCCTCTACTACCAAAGTTCACTCTCTTCCTCTTCTTTCTTTCTCTCAACTGAATGTGTAGGTGTGTGAGTGTATAAGATGTGTAACATGTGGAGGGTGGTGGTGTTTTTATAATAAAATTGGTGTAAGAGGTCCAAAATGCCCATTGGTTGGAATGGAACGGAATTGAGATGTATTTAGTTGGAATGTAATGGAATGAAGGATCATTAGGGAGCCTAATCATGTATTAAGGCATGATCTAGTTAGGGTTAGGCTTAAGTAGAACCAAGATAGTTACAAGTACAAGACAACTTTCCTTGAATTATGGTACCAATGTCAAATTTTCCTTCATAAATCATGCAATGTTGTCTCCAAAAGTACACAACAAGTGTCTATGCTAGGGTGGCTGGCCATGTGCTAAATTTGGGGAGATTTTGTTGATTTTATGTATATATATATGAAAATATTTGTGTATAAAATTATTTATTTAGGAAAGGTACAAGTATATATGGGTATATATGTGTATAATGGTACTAGTTTGGGGTCAAAATGTGATTTAAGAAAAATATGACGGCATTGGGTTTAATTTATGAATTAGAACATTTATTTTAGTGTCAAATTAAATTAAATTGGTGTAAGAGAGTCTAATTTGGTTTGGATTTATTGTTTCGAATAAAAACAAGATCAACCGACGAACGTAATAAAGACTGGAAAAAACTAGGATTTCCAAGTGGTAATTTCATATTTAGGGAGTCAATTAGAGTATCAGAAATTATTTCTAAGTTTCCAAAATCGATTAGGGTTTGCGGGTTTTTGTTGGCGCATGTATTTTGATCCTAGGGTTGCAATTAATTAAGAAACTAAGGGACTTCACGGAAATAATTTAAAGTAAGGGACTTTTAAAAAAGTAAAATTTTCAAGGGCCTCCCATATATCATCTTTATTTATTTGTATATTTATTTATTATTCACTATCTATTTACATCACTTATTTTTTAACATGTCATTTTCTATTTGTCCATTATGCCTATATGTCCATATCATCACCACCACTACTACCAGCCATTGTCGTTAACCACTTCTAGCGATTTTTCTTACTATGATCAACTAGTCTAGCGGTAGTAGAATAAAAATAATTTTACAAAAGTCCTTCAAAATAATAATTAGTCATTCTCACGAAACAGTTGCATTAATTATGTCTTATCATCAAAACAAAATAATTCTTAAATCTAATGCCATAAATACCAAAAAAAAATTGAATTTTTCACCAAATTTTCCAAGGAAATAAAAGATTTTTTTTTTTTCATAACCAACTATGTTTTTTTTTTTTTTTGAACGGCATAACTAACAATGTTAAGATCATCAAATTTCATTGACTGGCTGATCGACACAAACCAGGATCAATAAAGTCAGTTGATTAGCAAAGTTTTGAGATAGATTTATAAAATAATTTTCATGATACATAGACTTATTGAGCAATTTTTATTTTTATTTTTTTTTATATATTTTTTTTTAAGCTTAGTAAACTATAGTTTCATAATATAGGAGTTTAATCCAACAGTGACTCATAACATTTAACGAGATAAAAATTCATTTGTGTAATATATATTCTACTAATACTATACTTTCATGTTGTGGGAGTTGTATGCGTCACTGTTTGATCAAAATACTCTAATCTTATAAAATTGTGAAATACATACATAAACTTAAAGAGCCTAGATAATGTTTTACATAACTATTTCTTTTGTTTCAAAATTTTATAATATTTGTTCTTCATAAATTTTATAATTTTGAAACCTATTCAAGAATATCTATCAAACAACAAAGCTATGTTCAATATAAAATTTTGAAAAAAAAAAATTTTGAGAAAATTTTCAATTACATAATTTTTCACAATTTTCTATATAGAAAAGGTGAAATTTCACAATCTATGCACCCCCAAAAAAAACAATGAATGAAAATTTATATTTTTACGAACACAAAAATAGAAAAAAATTATAATTTTCCAAATTCTCAATTTCTAAAAAATTCATAGATTCTATTCAAAAATTGTGAAATTTCGTAATTACTCAAACACAAAAACAACATATAATTTTATAATTTTTCAGTTTAAGTAACTATTACATTTGAAATTTAACAGTTTAGAAGACTAAGAAATTTACTTCAAAAACTACTAAATTTATTAGTTTTGTTACATGCATAATTTCATAATCCATTTTGATTTTATATCACGATAAGTAGATTCTAAAATTTTTAATTTTATTTAAAAATAATATTCACAATCAAAATTTATGACATTTTGAAGTTTGAATCAAACAAAATAACTAACTTGATGTTGTTGAGTGTGCAACTAAGCCGCTCCCACTAAGGACAAATTTGTTTGAATTTTAATTAAAATTTGAAGAACAAAACTTAAATTATTAAAAAAAATATATGAGGTGGTCTGGAATTGCCAATTGTATGCCTATCACGGTCTTTTTATTTAAATACTGATTGTGAAAGTTGGCAATAATTAAACAATAAAATCTCGCTCTTTAAATAGTTATGACTCATTTCTAGGTTTATACCTTATGTGGTATTTGTTTATAACTTATTTTTTTAATAGTTATGACTCTCGTATGATTAAATTATGTCATAAATTGCATATAATATAACATTACCTTTATAACATTATTGTAAATAATCTCAACTTAAAAAAAAAAAACAAGAATTAACCATGATCAATGCATATATATAGCTAGTACATTACTGGCAAATTAACCATAATATTAATTCCTTAGAATATATAGATATGCTTTTTGTTAAATCAAATCTGTAATGAGTTGTTATCATCATTGTTAATTTGTCTTGCTTCAAAATATGGAGTGTAAGGATCCAAATTCCTAAGACCACGAAAAGAGGCAATTGTTTGGATGTCTATCCCTCCCAAATGTTCATATTCTCTTAATCTTGAATTTCAAGTAAGACCTTTTGAAGATAAAGAAATTTTTTTTAAAAAAATGAAATGTAAACCACTTTTCTTTTCATATTTCCCTCTCTCTCTCTAACAATCAAATTCAAAATCTAAACACAAATTTAATTTGTAATCACTTTTAACCATTGCAACTTTCTCTCTATATTTCTATGATTTAGTTACCAAAATTTTTTAACGGGAATGTGACACTCCTATGCTTTTCTCACTTTTTGACAAGGACATATAGATGAAATTAGCTACCCTAATAAAGGAGGAAGTGATAAAACAGCATTCAGAAATTGAAGGTTGAAATGACATTTGATGGCTCAACAAAAGAAAACAAAATGCAATTTACCTCATTGTATAAAACGTAGAGTGAAAAATACTACTATATAAAACAAAAATATTGTGTAATTTTTAGATTCCAAAGTATTAATTCATTTTTTTTTTTTTTTTGAAAATTCTAAATCTACAAAATACAATAAGACACATGTTATTTAATAATTTAATTATATATATTTTTTAAGGTAGTAATTAATTATTTGATCATTATAGTAACACATTTTAATTTTTCTATTTTTGACCTTTCAAATCCCTCTTGCTGCAAAACTTTCTATATTAACAAATAATATAGAATTCATAAATCAATAGTTGTAAAAGGATCCATTTACAAAAACAAGTACATATTTTTCTTGAGTATTACAAGCAGCAAATTTCACTTTCTGCCACCACCTCCAATTCGTGGTTTGCCTTTAACCTCGGACTCCTGCATCATAGGAGAAACATAACCTCGGGCTTTTGGAACCATATGAGTAAAAAAATGTAAAAACAAACGCTGGTAAAAGAAAATATTCTAGAAAAATGAACGACCACATCTCTCATATTTGTACTAAATATATACCTGTGGCAAGTGCAGGAAAACATGGGTCTTTGCGGTTGATGGATTATGATTTTCTGCACCCTTGCTCCAATCATAACACACCTGTAAACAAACAAGTTCTGGTAAAATCTTTAAGAGCAAATTAATCCGGGACAAGAGGACAAAGACGCATTAAAACATTAATGCAAAAATGAAATAATATAAATAATACAAAGAGATTTAACAAGGAGGTCCATAGCCACACAAAACAATCCAGCTTTCACAACCGAGACTTCTCAAGCCTTATTGGAAAATAGGTATTAGGCACCCAGTCCCATATGCATGCACTAGGGAAAACAAGACCCAACATTCCTCAATTTTTAGACTGTTGCTGGGCAGTTTTTGGAGAGAGAGAGAGAGAGCATCAATTGTTACAAATTTTAAATGAGACATACCGAGTATGCATATATTGAACCATCATTGTTGAAAGCACTGCATGGTATAGGTTGACTGCACCTCGACATGGCCTGGATATCAACAAGACCAAGATAAGATAGAGAATTATCAATATATCCCAGAACAAATATAACAGTATTTTATTGCAATAATTTTTTTAAATAAATAAGGGTTAGCATATTAGCTATAGCATCTGCTATGAGTAGGTTAGTAGCACAAATTTTATATGCTTCACAACAGAGGTTATGTTAAACCCAATCTACCCCTCACAGCACCCAACCTTAGCAAGGCTATGAACAAATTGCAGAATGTATTTGGACATTGAATAGAAAGACATAATTAATCCGTCAGTTGCTACTGGAACAATATTAGAATGTATTCTTATGCTCAGAGCATTTATCGAAAAGTTAAAATTATTACATTTGGAGAACACACCATTCTGTGGGCTGTCCAAAGCCCACCCAAAACTGTTTTTTAATAGAATCAGATGAAGATGCACAGAAAACTAAAGCTGACCAAATAAGTTGCAACACCGAAATCAGTCAATCGTGCAGGATGTATACATCAAAAAAAAAACTGCATATGTATAAATTTCAGAAGATGGATATATCTGAACCCAACATAATTGTGAGAATATTCAGCCTTTAGAGCAGTTAGTATCATGTTTAAAGGTCAAAACCAAAACTAATTGCACCAAAAATAAAACCAAGGACAGTTAAAGGGTAAATCAAGTTGTGAAGACCCATGATAAGAAATAAAGGTAGGTTTTAAAAGAAATCTGGAAAACCTTGAGTCTCTGTTTGCTATCCTTGTCCCAAAAGTTAAAAGCACCATCAGATCCAGCAGTTGCAAATGTATGATGGACCTGGGACGAGAAAAAGTAGGTAAGATACTGAGCAAAAGTAGTGAAATATACAGATGAGAAGAAAACAGTTCAGCATCAAAACACAATTTATTGATTCTCCAAGAGTTTCTCTAAATGAGTAGTGAACACCCGGCATAACAATAAATAAAAAAAGAAGGTTTCTCCAATAACTTTATGCTAGAAAATAACAAATCCAAAAGATACATAATATCACAAGCTTCTGCACAGATAAAAACAAAAATAGGTTCCTCCAATAACTTAATTTCAGAAGTCTTAAAGCTTGTTGCTGACAGATTCGGATGCTATGGCATCAATGAGATCTCGTAAACACTTCTATATTCCAATTGCAACGGTATGTTGGTAAATGAAGATAAGGAAATGACACAGGCATGACCAGCAACATGAAGTGCAACCTACTCCCCCTTGGTTGGGTTGATGAAAACATGTCATCAAATTAGCTGTGGTTCAAAATGTAGACAAAATCTCACATAAAAGACATGAAAAATAGCAGTATAAAATTCCATCTCATAGAGATTGTCAGGGATTTTTATGAAAATGCTAATAATGTTTTTGTTAGAAGGGGATTTAAAGAAATAAGTTTCCTTTTCTTTTTTATAGTACTGGGTTTAAAGAAATAATTAGTTAACTCACTCAGAGAGAGAGAGAGAGAGAGACTCTCAGACATATATAGGTCATATATGTCGTTCAATTGAAAATGCCAAGACGTGACATAAGCTACAAGAAGATTCCACCCAATCACTTTTCTAGTTAAGGAAAACGTGTGCTTGAGATAAATAAACCAAACCAAGTGAAATTTCTGTAAGAATTTTTGAATAAACTCGTATATTCTCTTGTGTAAAATATAAGAATACATTGGTTTATATATCAATCTAATCCTAGAACTGAAAAAGGAAACAAAATCCCTAATATATGCAGAATATAGAAACTACTATATATACATGAAACGTAATATTCTCACACCCCCACTCAAACTCAAGGTGTTTTAGCAAAAAACACTGAGAGTTTGCCAAAAAGAAACAGAAACCGAGCAGTGATGTGAGTCTTGGTAAAGAAGTTAGCAAGTTGCAAAGCCGAACAGACGAAAGGAAGCGAGATAGAGCTAAGCTACAGATGGTGACGGACAAAGTGACAATCAATCTCAATGTGCTTTGTCCGCTTATGGAAGACAGTGTTATGGACAATCTAAATAGCACTACGGTTGTCACAGTAAAGGGAGGTCGAAGAAGACTAAGAGACACCCACATCAAATAAGAGACAACGAAGCCAAACAATCTCAACAGTAGCATGAGCCATAGCACGGTACTCAGTTTTAGCAGTAGAGCGAACAACAACAGTTTGTTTCTTACTTTTCCAAGAAATCAAGTAACTGCCAAGTAACATACAAAGACTAGATGTGGACTTGCGATCAGTAACATCACTAGCCCAATTAGAATCAGTATAGGCCACCAAATCCAGAGAGGAAGTAGAAGACAATAGTAAACCCAGAAAGATAGTACCGCGGAGATAGCGAAGAATCTGAACCAATGCAGCCCAATATGTGGAACGAGGAGCAGAAACAAACTAGCTAACCACATGAACAGTATAGTCAAAATCAAGACAAGTAACCGTCAGATACACTAAATAACCTACAAACTCTCGATATAAAGTGGGATCATCCAGAGAGTCACCATCAGTAGAGTTGAGCTTCACATTAAGCTCAGTGGGTGTATCAGAAACCTTAGTATCAGTAAGACCAACACGGTGAATGACCTCATTAACATACTTAGCCTAAGACAGAAAACAGCCCTTTGAAAAAAAAGCAACCTCAATACCAAGAAAATACCACAATGGACCAAGATTCTTCATTTCGAAGGTACGGAAGAGATGCTGCTTAACAGTAGAGATAGCAGAAGAGTCAGAGCCAGTAATGATCATATCATCCACATATAGTAAGAGAGCAACAAAACCAGCCGAGGTATGTCTCAAAAACAAAACAGAGTCGAAAGTAGAAGGATGAAACCAAAGCTCAATAATAGCAATCTAAAAGCAATCATACCAAGCACGAGAAGATTGCTTCAAACCATACAGAGCACGTTGAAGACGACAAACCTACCCAGAGGAGTGGGGAAGGCCAGGGGGTGGACGCATGTAGACCTCCTTAGTGAGATAACCATTAAGAAAAGCATTCTTAACGTCCATTTGATAGAGAGGCCAATGTCAAATAGCAGCAACAGAAATCAAAGTACAAACAATAGTCATCTTGGCAATAGAAGCAAGGTCTCCTCATAATCAATACCATACTCCTGCGAAAAACCCTTGGCAACTAGGCGAGCTTTGTATCGCTCGAGAGAACCATCAAAATAAGTCTTGACTTTATAGACTCATTTGCAACTAACCAGATTCTTGCCAGCAGGCAATAGAACCAACGCCCAAGTATTAGTCTTCTGCAAGGCAAATAACTCATCCTTCATAGCTCAAACCCAATTGAGATCCTAACAAGCCTCCTTGTAAGACTGAGGTTCTGAAAAAGAATGAATAACAGACAAAAAAATACAATAGGAAGCAAAAAAATATGAATTAGACCAACTCAACCTGTTTGGAGGATGACACTCACAAGTAGGATATTGGTGTGTAGTAGGATCAGAGTCGTCAGAAGCAGGAGGATCAGCAGTAAGGGTAGAGACAACTGGTGGAATGAGAGCCTTGCGATGAGAATAAACTAATAACGGAGGAAGAGAAGGAGCAGGCTAAGAAAGAGGAGAAGAGGGAGCAGATTCATGGGGTTTAGTGGAGAAAAACTCAGCAAGAGGGGTGGTAGGAGGAGAAAAGGGAACAAGTTCATGGGGAACAGTAGAGATGTACTCATCAGAAGGGATCTCAGAAGGAAATAGATCAATGTGAACCAAATCCTCTTTGGAAATCGAAATAGTGAGAGGAGGAAGCAAAAAGTAAGGCAAATGTTCAAGAAAAAAAACATGACAGGAGACATAAAGACGACGAGAAACAGGGTCGTAACACCAATAGCCTTTCTGAGTAGGACTATAACCTAAAAAGACACATAGGACAGACCGGACACTAAGTTTGATCCGATCTTTGCGGGGAAGAAGGATAAAACAGGGAGACCCAAACACACGAAGGAGGGAATAATTAGGAATTTTAGAGAACAAAGTCTCATAAGGAGACCGACCAAAAAGAAAGGAAGTAGGCATGCGGTTGAGAAGAAAAACAACAGTAAAAACTGCCTTCCCTCAAAACGGAGCCGGGACTGAGGTAGAGAGAAGGAGAGACCTAGTTGTCTCAAGGAAATAACTGTGTTTATGCTCGGCTCAACCATTTTAGACAGGTGTATCTGTACAGGAAGTTTGGTGAATGGTACCCAAATTGGCCAAATACTCACAGAACTCATTTTTAAAATATTCCCCACCTAAGTCAGAGACCCAAACTAAGTAGTAATCATAGACTGAAAGGTATGGTATATCCGATAGAAATCTGACTTATAAGTCATAAGATAAATCCAAGTATAACGGATGCAATCATCAACAAATGACACATAGTATGCAGAACCCCCTTTGGTGAGAACAAGAGAAGGGCCTCAAACATCAGTATGAACTAAAAAAAACGGTGTATCAAATCTAGAAGTACTTTTATGAAAAGGTAAGACTGTCATTTTGACAAGTTTACATCCCCGACATTCAGTAAGTTCACTAGGAAAAACTTTACCTAATATACCTGATTGAGCTAAAGACCGTACGCAGTCAGCAGACAAATGCCCTAATCTAAAATGCCACAAGTAGAAAGAATTGGAAAAAGAATCTAACTGAAAAGAGGAAAAGGCAGTCAGAAAGGTTGTCATAGGTAAATGCAAACTCTCCACCACATAGAGGTCATCAACTCTACGGCCAGTCCTAATCTATTGCTTGGACATCCGATCCTGTACAGAACAGATAAAAGAAGAAAAGATAATATCAAAACCGGAGGCATCAAGCTGACTGATAGATAATAAACTGACAGATAAATGAGGAACATAAAATATAAATGGAATAGAAATAGCAGACATAACCGACGGTAAGACAAACCCAACAGATATAACAGACATACTAGACCCATTAGCAGCATTAACACTAATAGGAAAGGGAGGGGGAGTACAATTTTGAAGTAAAGAAAGATGGGGAGTCATGTGATGAGAGGCACCAGATTCAAAAATTCAAACAGATGAAGAGATACCTGAAGAAGACTCAAGCAAACTTGAATGAAGAGAGGAAACAATGGAGGCAGATAGGGATGGCTGGGAGGTAGATAGTGTATGCTGAAACTGGCTAATTTGAGCACTCAAGGAAGCCAAGTCAAGATCAGGAGCCAGAGCAGATGCAATAAAACTGGCGGGAGGCTGAACAATACTCAAAGGAGAGGCATAGAATTGGATCGAAAACTGTTAAGAAGACGAAGTAGATAGACATTCATTCTTGGGACAATAATACTTCTAATGGCCCCTTTGATGGCAGTACGCACATTCATCAAAAGTCAAAGACATTGTAATAACTAGAAAGCTCAGGGGTTCAAGTGAAAGAACCCAAAATCAAAACTAAAGGATCAAACTGTAATAAGCAAAAAAAAAGTTATCCAACAAACCCACAAATTAACAAGGTCTTGAATGAAATATGTAATGACCAGGTGGGGTCACTTTATAATAACCAGAATCTTGACCCAACCCACAAATATTCCCAGTTAGATAGACAAAACTGGAAACCCTGACCAACAAATATCCCAAGTAGAATCACAGAGAGAGAGACAGAGACCAGAGATGGAGCTTCCTAGGGCTTCGAACAGCGACGACAATGAGAGAGAGATAATGCAACAACTAGTGACCTGGTTCCTGAGGTAACCTGGTTCTTCGACTGAAACAGAAATAGAGGCAGAGACCAGAGGAAGAGTTCTAATGATCACGAACCAAAGAAATCCGAAGGAGGGTTACGTCGAACTCGACCTAGAGAGACAAGGCCAACGTGACACTCCTTCAACCAATGAAGACGGAGCACGAAGTCGTCTTCCCGAAGCAGATGAGGCACTAGTTGAGTCATGCACGACACTAGTGGCCTTCGATCGAACCAAACGAAGATAGAGGGAGTCATGACTTCCAACTCACAGAGAGATGGAACCTGAGGGCTGTTTTCCGAGAGCTAATCGCGACGAAGGAGATGACCTATGATCATGACTCAGTGAGAATCTCATGAGGAAGACGACTCAGAGACAGTGTCTAGGGTTTGGGCTCAGAGGCGGCTCTAATGCCATGCAAGAATTTCTTAATAAACTCGTGTATTCCCTTGTATAAAATATAAGAATACATTAGTTTATATATCAATCTAACCCTAGAACTGAAAAAGGAAACAAAATCCCTAATATATACAGAATATAGAAACTACCATATATACATGAAACATAATATTCTCACAATTTCCACCCAACTAATGCACCTTAATCACTTGAATTTGAGAATATTATTACGTTAATAGTAGTGAAGGCAATACTCTGCAGCAATAAGAATTGTAGACTGTAACAAACAGCTATAAGCTAACTAGCAATAATGATCACCAAACAAAAAATTGCAGTTGCTACATGGGAACTTACAGGATGAAAGTTCAATGCATTGACCGAGTATATGTCATTGCCCTCTCTATGGCATTTGAAAGTGAAGTTTTTACTTTGTTGTGAATCATCGAGATGATGTACACCAACTCTTCCCTCAATTGAGCCAACCTAAAGAGAAACAATTCAAAAGTCTTAGAAAAATGAACCAGTAACTGAAATAGAAAACATTAATTCACAAATAGAAAACGTCAAATGGAGTACGAGAAAAGAATCAAGGTAAAATTAGTATGTTGTTATTAATGTACACAACACAACAACAATGGTTTAAAGATAGGAAGCCAGTGACAGAACAACATACTTAATGAACACAAAAACCTGAAGCAAATCTAAAAAAATGATTCCTAAAGGGAGTTATCCCAATGTATAAAATCTTAACAAGGGATAACAAAATTGAATTCATCTGATTTTTTAATACTCCAAGATGCATTGAGTCAAAACGTAGGTGCCAACTAAACAAGACTAAAAGAGTTAAATCATCAATCAGCTTACTAAATTGTTTAGCCCCAAATAGAGGGGAGTTAGATGGTAAAGCATTAGATTCTCATATAACAATGATGAAGATCTGGCAATGCTTCTCATATAGCTCCAAATCATTATGGACCTAAAACAACAACCATATTTACATTACATGCATTAAGGGCGCTAAACAAGCATCGCCAGGACATACATTATAAAGCAGCAACAATATGTCCCAAGTTTTTTACTACCTTAAGTTGATCATTTTTGAAAAAGTACATTTTTTTTTTTTTTTAAATGATCGAAAAAGACAAAGTAATAGCAAGCACAGATCTTAGCTTTTCAAGTTGCTGCCTTTCCTCCTTTAAAACAAAAAACACAAATCATATTCTTCTCTAAATTTCTTATTTTTTCACTCCAAACATGTACTAATTGTTCCATTAAATATTTTTCATTACAAGAAAACCAAATCATATTCTTCTCCAAATTTCTTATATTTTTTTTTCACACTCCTATTAACTTATTCTAGTTTGTCAAGACAAGCATGCACTAATTGTTCAGAGTTCATGAGCTGTGCCACAAAATACTTCCATGTTAAAAAAAAAAAAAACAAACTAGATTCAGAATTTGTTTTTTAACCATTGCCTAATAGCTTTGTAAGAAAATGTTATCAGCATATGCACAATGTATCACCCTAACTTAGCAATGCAACTTGGATTTTACATACAGTCAATAAATGTGTACCGACATTAAAAACACAAACAAAGGTAAGTAGCATTTATTATCATAAGCATCTCTTGGGTTTATATGATTGTTTCTCATATGAACTGAAGCAAGAAAGACTATCATTGCATTTATGTTTTAACACTTGATATATGACTTGTTCTCACAACAATGCATCGATGAGAATTTAAGTCCTCATTTCTACTAACCTTTTATTTTTCTTTATTTCTATTATTATAGTTCCACTGCACTCAGTATTTGGCTAACTCACTTGAAGAATATGGACTTCAAAATGACAAGAACTTGGCCTTCAATTTTTATGAGAGACAAGACATGACATCCATTTATCAATCATACCCACATAACATTCCCCATAACAAGTATTGAATTGTAAATATTGTACCAAATACAAATCCACAAAAACAACATAAAATCCTTGAATCTTAAAGGTCTTGGATCTCTTACACATCAAATGTAAACAACCCAGACTGACAATGAAGCCACCTGAAAACAGTGGAGAGTGACTCTCAATGGAGTGTTGTTCAAGAGATGACTAATTAATTTCCCCCAACAATGAACAACAGTTGAAAGAAAGAAAGAAAAAAAAAAAAAAAAAACGCCCATACACAAATTAATGGTCTCAGAAACTTAAAGAAGATGCATGTGCATTCAAATTGAAAGCAACAAACAAAATATGTACATTAAAATTCAAAGTGCATAAATACTGTCAGTATCAGAAAATTGAAGCTCTCAAATTTCTAGCACCCAAGATGTTCGTAATCCCAGTCAAAGCTATTGTTAAAAGCCCAATCTTTCAATTCGCTCCTCCTGGCCTACCCAGCAGTTTCTGTTTAACACCCCTCCAAAATGCGCACACTATCACACTCATAGACTCATCATGAGAATTAAGTTCATCTTTCATGGGAGATGAAAATTTTTGCCCAGGATATTGCAATTATTTATCAACCAGATGCACTGATAAACTAGGAGAAAAATTGGGACACAAGTGAACAGAAACATAGAGAATAAAAGGATCGCAATAGAACCGTGAACTTACCAAGAAGCCTTGCTGATCAGGAAATGCAGCAACACACCTTGTCTGATACTTCAGGGGTGAAATGATCCTTTTGAACTCAGTCTGTCATATTCAAAAAGTGATTACCATTATTCATGTACGGGGTAATCATGCCATACAAACAGAATTTTTGTACAGAAATTCCATACAGAATGATGTGACCTTTTGTAATCCTTTCATTTCAAGTTAAAACACCCATCATTATAGATCATAATTGTAAAAATGCCAGTGTCAGTTATATCAATCTTGATGAGTTTTATGTATAAAAATTATGTTTGTGTCATTTTCCATTCATGTAATGAAATTTAAGGCAGTATAGTAAATGAAGAAAGTCTCAGCAGTCAATTGGCATCTGAACAATGGCACTCAAACATGAGTGAGGAAAAGTAGACACAACATTGTGAATAACAAGTATTTAATATTTAATATTAATCGAGCTTCTTCATTTATTTATTCATTTCATTATTTTTTTGGTAAGTTGGAAGCATTTTACCATTGAAGTAAATAATATAGCTTTTGTCTGCCACCCATGTTTTCCACTAAAACTTGCTATCCTATGAGTGAATATGAAGGATTTGATGCTGTCCACTTCATTAAAATGGTACCACATGCAATCAGACCAAGCCGAGCAATTGATGGAGCCGTTGGATATGATATATCATCAATAGCTAGGTATGAAGTTCCGGCCTACGGTAGAATGTTAATTTCTACAGGCCTAGCTATGGAAATACCTTATGGGATGTATGGTAGGATTGCCTTGCTTGTCCGATGGCATTGTCTTCTTCAGCGGTAAGACTGGCCTGGATCTCTGCCATTTCATCAAGGGGAATTCCTGAGTCGAAGGAGAATCCCTTCAATACGAACTCCTCCATACATTGCCCGAATGAAGTTGCACCCGATAATCATCTGAATTCTTCCTCCAAGCTTGAATGGGAAGCTGTATGTATAAGGGATTCGAAACCAGTTATCTCTCCGGATGAAAGATCTCATGCCAAACACAGTTTTTCTCAGTTGCCTGAGTATTGATTAAAGGGGAATAATAATGCTACCGACACTATTACTGACTGACAACTAACACTATTATTGGACTGATCCATGCTCAAGAGATAAGCATAGAATTTGATTATTATGCCCACCACGTTCTTCCCAATGTGATTAGCATTAATATAGACCATCCATCTGTTTAATAGTGAAACGTCCTCATCAGTATGACAAGGTCAAACAGTTCACTATCAATTTCGTTCAGTTCACAGGTCAACAGCTCAAACGAGCACTTGTTGAATGAGTCAAAACGAACTGGTGTACCTTGAAGCCCTCAAAGCATCTGAAGCAACTGAAGCACCAGGGATCGGCTTAACAACTTCCTCTGACAAGTTGTCTATACCATCAGGAGTGAAAACCCTGATTCGGCAAAATAACACCATAATTGAACTTTGTCTAAGATTGTCAAAACAGGTTGAAACACTTGAAGCTTTTCCAGTGCTCCCAAATCCTTCAATACCTCTCCAATTGCGAGCTTCATGTTTTTCGTCATTCCGAATGTCACAGAGATTGCGAGCATCTTTCTCCACCTGTATATGGTTTCTGTCAAACCTCCTCCAATTTGTTCAGTATCATCAATCCCTTCTGATACTGAATAGAATGAAATAGCCATTCTGTTGAAGGCTCATAGTAATGATCCACTGTAAAATCCTCTTCTTCTTCAAGCTCCTCCAAGAAATTCACTGATTGGCGGGTCTGAATTGTTTTCTGAGGGACCTTCTTCGAATTGAACATGGGCTTCAGCTTCTTTTTCAAGCTCTAGAATCTCCTCTTCCTTGTACTTTCCTTTCTGTCTGTTTGTCAAGATAATAAATCTTGAACGATTCTAGAGAATTCATGCATGATTTTCGAACACAGCTACCCTTTTGACATTCTTCTTCTCCTTTGTACAGTCTCTGGCATAATGTCCTTCCTCTCCACATAAGTAGCATTTACAATGTTTTGACTTCTGTAAATACTTTCTCTTATCAATTCTGACGTGAGAATTATGTGGCTTGCCTTTGTAGGTGGTAGCTTTTCGAACTCCATATTTCTTCTCTGGTTCTTTGTAGTACCCAGGGATAGGGATCTCCCTGCAGAAGTCCAGATTACGAAGTGACTTCTGGAACGCCGCATTCTTGCATTCAGCTTCCAGATACTTGTAAGCATAAAGAATTCGGGGAACGACGCCAATTGTATTTGCACCATGTCGTTCTGCTCTTCATGTTGCTGGATGACTGGGTAATCTGTTTCATCATCAGGATGAGGGATATATGTAGAACTATATCCCAGAGGATAATCATCTTCATCAGAGTCCCATCCAGTTGCCAATATTTGTTGGCAATCTTCTTCAAAACTTCGTCCAGAGTAATGACTGGGGGCATTATATTTGACCAGATAATCATACTTGCCACTATCTGACTCTACTCTCAACATAATTGCTATGATGGAGGAAGCAGACAGAGAAGCAGAAACGGAGTACCCGCAAATTGCAAAGATAAAGGCATTAATTGAAAGAAGGCAGCAGAAGCAGCCTCAATATCTTTTATCTTCATCATCAGCCGTAACCTCTCATTACAATCCCCCGCAGGATTCAATGATGGGTCCTCCAGGTTATCCACCAGCAACAGGACAAGGTCCTTCAATCAATATTCCTGAAAGACCTTCTTATACAGGAATACGATCCAATTTCCGACGAGGAACAAACAACGAAATGTGGAATTTACCATCTGCTATGCAGCAGACTGGAGCCTTGTTCATCATTCCACAATCTCTTGGAAAATTTGATGATGTTTTTATGAGATGGGAATCAATCACAAGGTCCTATGTTGCTTCTCAAGGATTCACAGATGTCAGAGATAAACTTCTCTTCATGGAGAACCTTCTGTATAACACCTCAGCTGGTGCTATATTTGCTCGTTCCGCCATGGATAGTTGTAGCTGGACTTCTGGAGAGATTTGTTGCTCCAAAGTATTGGAATTTGAGGGTCGTTTCGTCGTTGGTCCTGACGATACTCTCTGATCTGGTCTTCGAACAGAGGTGCTCCAGGTGTTGCTGTAGTTGGCCGTGGTTGATTGGTAACTCGTGGCAGAGTCACCGTCCTTGTCCTGGATGCTGAGGCCATCATGAATTTTTAAGCCTGATAGATTTCATATTATCAAATGAAAAGTGAACATTCTAGAGTTTGTAATAATGGATGTCTATGTCATTTATGAAGCTAAAAACAGTAAACTTATGCGCTTACTGCAATGACTGATCATTCAAGAACTGCTTTAAACATGGTTCAATGACGTCAATCATTTCAAAAAAAAAAAAAAAAAAAGGGTTTTGTCTGCCACCCATGTTTTCCACTAGATTTCATATTATCAAATGAAAAGTGAACATTCTAGAGTTTGTAATAATGGATGTCTATGTCATTTATGAAGCTAAAAACAGTAAACTTATGCGCTTACTGCAATGACTGATCATTCAAGAACTGCTTTAAACATGGTTCAATGACGTCAATCATTTCAAAAAAAAAAAAAAAAGAAGAAGAAGAAAGAAATACCTGAGGGTTCTGCAAGTTAAAAACTATGATATTTCTATCCGCAATTGCAACCACCATCAAAGGATGTCTCACTGCAAATGCATAGCAGCGGTCAGGAAGTTGTTGAGTATGCACTGGATTTGACTGTCTCAAATCCCAATACCTGAAATCACGTGAAATATTATCAAAAACAAAAATACAAGTCCAGGTATCAAATGTATAGACAACAAACAGTCATGCAAATAATGAATCAAATGCATAGGAAATCACATTATGTGATAGAGCATAAATTTACATCGTAAAGATAATTAATACAGAAAATAATACATAAACAACACAGAAATAAGACTAAAAAGCCTAGATTGAATAAATGTCAATGTCATAGATTTTATAATACAAAACAGCATCTTGCAAAGTAGCAGGTGTGTTGATAGTTCCTTCCAACCTCCTGTGAGTTTATAAGAATAAATAATGACCAAGAGTCAGCTGAAAGGAAGACAGAGGACATTTCCCATTCCTATAGTTTTTGAGACAACAATCTAGAAAATTTCACCTGCGTCCTTGAAGCCAAGCACATAAAAATGCTCTTTTTAACTAGCTACGGTCAAGGCTCTAGCACAAACCTGCATCACAATTATACTCTTTTAGACATAGAATTATTTATATGCCCACAGATTTTTTTTTTTCTTTCCAAATCCTTCTGCAGCTGCATGGAACCCATCCCGTGTGCTAGAAGACCAATGAATAAGAAGAATGCTAGAAGAAAATAAGAGATAGCTAGCCAGAAGACCTATGAATAAGAAGAATGCTAGAAGAAAACAAGAGATAGCTAACCAACTTCTGGGAGAGATATAATTGACTGCATTGACATGCGCACCTGTGTATCCTCTTCACAACATAGGACGACAGACTATCCTCCACAAAAGAAAATAGGAATGTGCAAAAGACTGATCAAAACCAGCGCGGTTTGTAAAGATTGGCAATGCAGCTTGGGTGGATTGAAGCATTTTTTAAAGTGGATCAGTTTAAGTACGGTTCAAACTTTACAACCATACTTCTCAAACAAAACCCTCCTATTTCATTTGACATCATGGCATCTCTCTCAAACTCTCATCTCGATCCTTCTCTCTCTCTAATCAGATGAGTGAGACCCTCATCTGTCTAACGCCACTGTCTCCCACATTTACCCTGATGAGCGATGACGACAACATCGTATTCTGAGTATTGTCTTAGTCTCATCTCACTCTGCAACTCGCCCTCCCCTTACCCCCTTATCACTTACCAAATAGCCCCCTCTTAACCACACCTGCAACTCCCCCCTCCCTTCACCTTTACTCTTCTCTCTCGCTGCAACTCCCCCCATCACCTAAAGAGCCCAGCCCCTCTTCCCCACACCATTTTCTTCCAAACTAATACCAAAATTTTCTCTGCTGGAAATTTGATGGATTTGATGAGCGGAATTTGCAGAAATTGTGTGGGTAGGAGTTGGCAATCGTTCTATGAACTAATGCAACATAGAAATAAGAGAGATAAGGACCACTGACTCTTCAGTGCTCTTGCAAAACATTGCATTATAAGTCAACAAATTTGCCAAATAGGTCTCTTGATATTTTCATGGAGGTAACCCTTTGATGCATCTGTAATCAGAGCCTGTGTCCCGGCATGTTTGGAAGCAGGTGACAAAATAGTCAACCAAGTCAAGGGTGGTTTGGTTGAAAAAACTGTCCCCACACCAACCCAAGCACACCCCTAAAGAAAAGACCCATATCATAGGCAAAACTCCTAAAATAACTTCTTCAGAGTAAGCTTCCTGGAAGAAAATCTAGACTGCAAGTTGTTTTGATAACTAAACAAACACCTTAGCAAAAATTTGAATCAAATATGAGCTTACGACAGCATCATTATGATGTATCAGTAAATCGAGTAATTGAAAAATAAAGAATCACGTAGACGAGTTTGACATATTAATGCATGTACAAAATCAAGACAAGTACATCCAGAATGGAATTACAAGTTTCTACCAAAATTCAAAAACTAACTTAACACTTACCTCAGAGTTTTGTCCCAGCTTCCACTGACTAGGAGATTCATCTCCGGTATCCAAGCAATTTCACTAATGGGTGCATCGTGCATGGCCACTGTCATTGGTTGGCCACCAGACAGTAATGGCCACATCTTAACTTGCTTGTCACATCCCCCAGAGAAGACAGTTGTCCCATCATCCTTCCAAGTCGAGCATAAAACCTTCAAAAATATAAAACAATCAATTACCACACTTTTAAACTCAAAATCAGGAAAACAAATCAAAAATAGTTTGCAAACACTACTGCAAATATTTGGCACCATACCGGCAGGTCATGCGACATTGATGCCTTGGGCACACTTCCAACAGTGGCCCCATTCCGCATTATCTCCCAACATCGCACCTATGCAAATACACAACAAAAAGTTATAAAAGGACTAACAAATAGAAAGTGGGGTTTGATAATACAATTCAGCACCTAAACTAAATGTATTCAGTGAAACTAAAAATAAGTCCATTTGATAGCCATAATAGTATCATTAAAAATTGGTATAGGTTATAGGTTGTTTGGTTTTTTTAGTAACTTTTTGACTTTTAGACTAAAACACTCACATGTCAAACGAGGCCTTAGTATCATTTAAAATTTTAAGCACATCTTAAAAATAGGCTAAATTTTTAAGTTATAGACTTCTTCCTTAATTCCTAATGTTGAATGCTTATAGTTATGTCACCGGTGAGGTGCACTTCTATCACCCTATAAATGCCACTTCCATTGCCACCATCACCACCATCCCTCCACCTTTACCACCACTAACACCACAGCTACCCCACCATATCACTACCAACCAACCACCACTACCACCATCATCACTACTATCGCACCACCACTGCCGCCACCACTACCACGATATCACCACTGTCACTCCGCTACCACCACCATCACTGCCGTCGCCCCTCTACCTCTGCCATCATGTTGTCATTGCTATCATCACCACAAGACAACCACCACAACCACACCACAGCTACTCCATTACCACCACAATCATCACCGCCACCATCACTCCTTTCACCATCACCACCACCCCACTGTCACCCTACCATCACAACCATCATGCCACTACTACCACCATCATTGTCACCATTATCTTACTACCACACAACCACCGTCACTACTGCCACCACTTGCACTTCACACCACCACTAAGTGGCTACAGTCCACCACTACAAATATAAAGAATGTAAGAGACAAAGCAACAAATTTCAGTAAATATCAATTAAATTTTAAATTAAAAAAATTTAGTATTCAGTTTTCAATAGTTAATTTTCAGTTTATCAAACAGCACTGAATACAACATTTGAAATATTGAGAAAATATATATATATATATATATATATTTAAAACTAAACAAAGTAAATGAAACAAAACATAATTTTTTTGCAGCAGGATAAAAAATAAACTAAATTTTGGGTCTTGTGTCTTGCGTCTCCATACTGAAAAACTCATCTCATGGAACTAATAGATTTTTCAGACCAATTGAGTTAATGTTGTATTTGTCTCTTTTTTCATACAAGTGAAAGAAATAGATACAAAATATTTAATCTGACTTCTCTTCATGCATTTTCTAAGAAAACAAACATACCAGCTTCAGCACAAGTTCAAATAAACAACAAAATGCAGTTGAACAAACAACACAAAACAAACCTGGTTATCCCATGAAGTTGCAACAAGGAAATTGGCATTGGGACTGAAAGTAAGACTTGATACAGAATCACTTGGAGGTTGTACCACCTACACACACACACACACACACACACACACATATATATATATATAGAGAGAGAGAGAGAGAGAATACCCATATAAGTAATAAAATCCCAAATCTTGAAAGAAATCACATTCCAAAAATAAACCCAATAGTGGAACAGAGTAGCAAAAACAAACACTTTACACGAATGTGTGTCTACATACCAATAGAACTAACTATATACCGACAGAAATCATCTTCAAGGTCCAATTAAGTTCAAGAATCAATGAAAATATAAACATGGCGAAGTGATTGAGCTTCGGAGCAGATAAAGAATTACCTCAACCGACTTGTTCGGATTGGGATTCGGTGTCGAAGCAGTATTGAAAGTAGCCATTGCAGCTACCAATGCAAGAAATTTTACAAACAAAACAAGACAAAGATAGATATCGTTAACTAATTGAGTACATAAACCCTAATTTCTCAATAAATATGCACACACACACGTATATATATGTATATGAGACAGAGATGATGTACTGTTGAGAGGTTTCAAATGGAGGAGAGAGAGAGAGTATATATATATATTCGCCAAGTTTGGGAAGACTAAATAAGCGTACTTTTTGACTTTTTATGAAATATGGGTTGGATGTGACTTAAATAAGATGATGTGACTTAAATAGGATAGTGACTTTTTAACTTTTTGAATTTTTTAGAGTACGCCAAACTTAGCCTTAGATTGGAGAGAGAGCGTACATATATAACGCTACGGGGTACAGTGTTATTGAAATTAGGATTGTTTAAAATATTGTTGAATCGTTAAAATTATATTAATTTGTATAGTTACATCCGTTAATTGTGGATTAAATTTTAAAATTTATTATTTATTTTTTAAATTGCTTCTCCCTATTATAATTAATTTATATATTTTTTAATTTTTAATATTTTCAATATGAGATAGATTTAAAATGTGAAATTTATTATAGATTAGTAATTATATATATATAACATATTATGTAAAATTAATTTGTATTATACATATAAAGAATATTATGTAAATTAGTGTTATATATTATATAAATGTTTGATAATTTGTTAGAATATTTTTTAATTTGTAAATTCGCTTAAAACTATTCAAATCGTGATTTGTCAATTCATTAATCCGCTAACCTATCATTTGATTTATAATTTTATCCTTAAATCATTTAAATTGTATTGCGCACACTCCTAATTTATACGCGACCATTTGGGGCTGAAATGGGCCGTTCGGGTCGGAGTACCCGACAAGGGAACTGCGGGTGGATATGATGTTTGGGCTGACCCAGACTGAAATAGATTTTTTTGTTTGGAGGCTGTATCTTGGGATTGGATTGGACATAACATTTAAACCCACGGTTGTTCTTGGGCTCTGTCGGTTTATTTTCGGCCCTGATCAGCTTTTGAGGGTCCAGCCGGTGCTTGCTGGCTCATCTCACACGTATTTGATGATATGGTTTATCTTTTCAACAAGTTAAGCAGATCATCAATAAAAATAAATAAAATAATTGGACATCCTTAATGTTCATATGGTTACATTTTTTTAAAATAAACAAATGGAAAATATCATTTTGATAATACATTTATTTTTTAAAAATAATTAGGATTTAATCATATGATTATTAATGTCTGATCAATTTAATTTTTTATATGTGTAATTTTCTCGATGAATTCTATAAAATGAATAACTTGAATCATTCGCATAGAATTGAAATTAGCTCTCACAACCATCTTTTGTTCCCCTCCCTCAAATTTTGTTATCTCATGTTGTGATTGTCTTGGTCATCTCGCATTTGTATAAAAACTCTCTATACTAATGTAATTTAGGATGAATTACAAATATATATTTTGAGATTTTCTTAAAATATTGATTGTTTTGTGTGATATTGGAAATTACAAATATTCTTTTGTCAATCTTTTTATTTAACTACTCTCTTGCAAAATTTGTAACTACTCTCTTATACAATAATAAAATTATCAAAATCGTTAATTAAAATATATTTTTAACATAATTAAAAATTATTAATTAACTTAATGCTTTATTAATAAAAAGATTATTTGTTATGCACTTTGAAATTTGAAGGTGCGAAATCTAATTACTATAATCAAAGGGAGAAATTTATACTTTAAATAAATCTCAAGGGTATATTTATAATTTATCTAATATTTTGTTAGTAAGTAAATCAATTATAATTATATTTTCACAATAATTATAATATTGTATTTCTTAAGCAATTTTATATGATTTTTATACTTAGTAAAAAATCTAGTTTTATGGAAAATTACACAACCATAATTAATGTAGAAAATAGATAGAGCAAGAAAAAATTAATCCACGACACAAAATATTTTTTACGTGAAAAAATCATAATTGGAATCCACCAACTTGTGATAAAAAATAAAACTAAAAAATCACGGGCCCTTGTCCAAGCGAATAATCCACTATGAAAGAAAAGAGTACAAGAGATATCTTACAAAGACTACTCCAGACTCGCGCGTTTGCTCAACTTACGATTCATTCTTCTTCCTCCACTAGATCTCCGCTATGGATGTCAAATCACCATGACACCAATGACTTTGGAATCTACCGAAGTCTACAATCTCGGAATCCACCAAGAAGGTTCACAATTGAAAGGTGTGAAAGACTTAGAATAGCTTGATGATTAGCTTGAGGTTCTTAGATGCTAATGAATCATTGAGCATGTGAGAGTATTATAAGTAATCCTCGCTACAAAATTCACTCTCAAATACTTAGCAAAATCTCTCTATAATAAAATGATATCTTTCACAAAAATATTTCTCACTTATAAAAATGATCTCTCAAAAGATAATAATACTTAGAAGAGCTTAGAAGAGAGTACACAGAAAATAAATGGAAGAGATACAAAATAAACCAGCAGAGCATGTCTTAAATAGGCCTAGGCCAAAGACCTTCGCGAGCGCGCACACCATGGTCGCGACCGCGACCACCCTTCGCGGGATACAGACAAAACTTATAAGAGTTGGATTTTTGGACTTGCCAAATCGCGGGTGTGGTTGTGAAGTTTGCGGCTACGAACAAGCATGTTGGCTTAGTTGCTATTTTAGACTTTTGATCATGAAAATCTTCGATAGTGTTTGATAAAGTTTTCTAAATATGATTTCATAATAGACTTGTATTTTGGGTTTGTGAGTTTTGAAATTATGATTTAAGTGTGCAAAATTTGTTTGGTTATGAGTTTTGAAAAGAGTTTTCAGTTTTTAAAATTAGAAAAGTTATTTGATTTAAAAACTTACAATTCATGACGAAACACACAATCCAAAATTCTATTTAAAACTCATATAAAAATTTAAAAAATTTCAAAAATTTTGTATTTATAATATAAAAATAACAAGTGCAAAAAAAAAAAAAAAAAAAAAAAAAAAAAAAAAAAAAAAAAAAAAACAACAACAACGAACGCTATTCCAATCAACCGGCTAGGGGACGTCCGGAAGGACGATCAGGTTAGCCAAATTTTCTCGTCTGGAAAGGAGTTTTCAAAAGTGAGTGTAAAATTATAATTTTAAAGCTCAAAATAAATACCACACTCAAATTAGTGGGTAGAAATGTATTTGGAACATGAGAGGGTAATTTTAGTGCAAATTGGGCCGAGCTATAAGATGGTCATAGTGGCCCACAATACAAAGGGCTGAGTAAAAAAGGCTGTAAAAGTTACTCTGGCCCAAGAGAGGTACAAAATTACTCCGGCCCGAGATACGTATAAAGTTACTTCGGTCCGGAAGCAACTTGAAGGTTAGACCGGTCTTGGAGTTATACCGGTCACGAATCGTTAGTTCGTTCTAAACCGTGTCATGTGCAGTGTATGAGAAGCCGACGTGAGAGAAGTAAAAGGAAGAATTAGTTCGGCTCATTCTATGGCTATGCATAGCCATGATTATTTCGGTCATGTTGTAGTTCGGCCATAGTAAAAACCATCTCACTTGGTTTAAGCAGTGAGGGGGGTGTTGAAGGATAAGCATTATCTTTCAGGAGTATGAATCCCAGGAGGACTCTGCATGGAGGAGTAGAAGTCCTACTAGGATTGTGCCACACGAAACCTATAAAAGCTCACAAACATCACCTTGGGAGAGGTAACACACAACTTTGCTTTCTGAATACACAGAGCTTTGTCTATTAGTCAAGTTTGCTGACTTAGGCATCGGAGAGGTTTCCGGCACACACCCGCCGGCTAGCTCACGTTTGTGTTTTCAGGTGACAAAGCGACGTCGTACGGAGGAGCGCAGACTTGGTCAACAGGATTATACGAGAAGGTATATTTATTTCCCGTACAATTGGCGCCGTCTGTGGGAAAAACAGACAGAACAAAACCTCTTGATTAAGCTTCTCATCTCCTCAAACAATGGCACACATTGAAGAATTGCCACAGTCCGCCATCGACGAACTAACTCCAGATGGGGGCGCAAGGCGAGAAGGATTACCTTCTGTCCCTTCCATGGCGGACTTGGAGCCCCAACGACATAACTCCAGGAGGGATGCGAGGGGGAGGCGGACTAACAGCCCCCGTCACTCTCGTTCGCAAAGTCCTGACAGGCAAAGGAGGAGGATTGATCCTCAAGCTCTGGAAGACCGCGTGAAGAAGCAAGATGAATTGATAAGGAAGATGGCGGCGGACATAGAGGCCTTGAAACGCCAGATGAAGAAAAAAGAAGTGGCGACAGGAGAGGGGCGCAAAAATAAGACGCCCCCTCGCCACTCAGAAAATCGTAGCAGAAATACCACACCCTCGCAAGGAGAGAGCAGAAGCCTCAGGACAAGCGATACTCAATCCTGGTCTTCCAGAACTCGTCACTCCAGGTCTGAGAGGACGAGATCTGAAAGGTTATACACTGAAGGAAGCACATATTGGCCCTCACATTCGCATCAAACCAGATCCAGACAAACGGAGTTACCCAGATCATCGGACTTACGAACCGTGCTCGAAGAAAAAGCACGATGCAAGGAGGATGCTAGGGCACAGGATCCACACAGAATTTCTTCCTTACAGCGGTTAGCTCCTCGGACGCATGGAAGCGTCGAGGTTGGAATGCCAATACCGCGCCCTGCCTATAAACCAACGGACAAAGCTTTAGCAAGGCTGCAGACTTCACCGTTTGTTCCAGCGATTGAAACGCGCCCCTACCATCAGGCTTCCTTCAACCGAAATTCACTACATATGAAGGGAAGACGGATACCTACTCACACTTAAGCCACTTTCGCCAGGTCATGGCTGTGTACAGGCGAAACGAGGCCTTAATGTGTATACTCTTCCCATCAAGCCTTAGCGACCTAGGCTTGACTTGGTTCGAGAAACTTCCAGAGGGCAACATAGCCTCCTGGGCTCAACTGGCAGAAGCATTTGTAACAAGGTTTTGAACAAACACTAAAACGCCGGTGGAGATAGACCAGTTACTCTCCATCGACATGGGTGAAAAAGAGACCCTCAGATCTTACAACAGTCGCTACTGGGAGACATTCAATCAGATAGGGGACTGCCCCACCAATCTCGCCAT